TGTTTTCACTAATCTAATCCACACCTGTGTCTGACCATGAGAACATGACATAATTACAGCTCATAGATGAGCCCTATATAAGAGCGGAGGAGGGCCACGGGCCACACTGTGAGCACCTGTTGGATTGGTCGCAGTTTGACATTGTATTCGAAGCAAATCTCATTCTCTGTGGCATCTTTTACCGTTTTCTCTCCATCATGAAGTGCCTGATCACACGATTCTGGATGTTGGCTCTGCTGGTCTCCCAGGCTCAGGTAAATACACATACATCCATCAATAACTTGTGTATTTTATATTCACACTCCATAATGTTGTCATCTTACAATACAATACAATACAATACAATACAATACAATATAATATAATATAATATAACAGTGTGAATATAACACTGTTTTCCATTGAAAAAATGTCCAAACCTTGGAAGGATTTAATAAGACCTGTTTTTAGAGGATTCATCTTGAATTATTTTTTATTTCTTGTTTTAACCAGAAATCTAACAAAATGTAGTGACATTTATGCTTAAAACAAGGGGAAAAAAACTCTTTGTCAGTGGACTAAGAAAAATATACAGAAAAAAAATCTGTAGTTTTTCTGTTTTTCCCAGTAAAAAATGTCTACAAATCATACAAAAAGAAAACAAAAATATTTGACATGCTAAATTGTTTCAATAAGAATTGTTATCAGAAAATCTATCTATTTTTTTTATTTCTTGTTTTAAGCACAAAAAACCCCTAACAAAACAGTGACATTTATGCTTTAAACAATGGATTGAGTCAATGGAGTAAGAAAAAATGGACTTATGTTCTGCTTCTCAAGTGAATGTATCATGTTTTAAAGATATTCGGATGTTTTTACTGGATGACTGGAAAAATATTAAGGAAATTATTTCTCACTTTATATTTACAATAATTATACTACAATATTGAGAACAGTTATAGGGAAGGGGAAGTTTCACAGCAATGAAATCTGAGGAACAAACACTCTATTGTGGTTTATTTTTAACATCTAAAATTGGCATTAGTTAATAAGCTTTTCAATTGTTCCCTAGACTAATGTGACAGTGACAACCGGTGTGGCAACAACTGATGATACTTCAAATACAGCTTCAACTTTTCTGTCAACAATTGATGCGACTTTAGTTACAAGAACAGATCCAACCACTGTAGATTCTACAACTACAACTACAGCTCAACCCACTGTTCCAACAATTTATACTACTTCACCCATAATAACCAGAATAAATACTTCAGATACAACTCAACCCACTCTGACAACTTTGCAGGAAATTGTGACAACTTCATCAGATCAGCCAACCACAATGTCTCCATCTTCAGATCAGCCCACCATGATTCAAACGACTGAATTTTCAAGCAACATGACTGATATGACCACAATGACAAATACCTTGATGGCAGTGAATACCATCGTGACAACAGAAGGACAGACCTCAATTTGGATGACTACATCATCCAGCGACTCACTGACAGTTACCGTCATCAGCTATACTCTATCCATCCTGCTGTATATGATGTTGAATTGAGCATTACCTGATTCAGCCCTGGGCTAAAGCTAAGCCTGACTGTTTTACAAAGAACTGTAGTATATACAGGGGCGTGGGAAGATGTTTTCAGTTGTGGGTGCTGTGTGTGTCCGTGTTGGGTGAAAGGGGGGTGGGGGGCTTGTTCACTTACGTCGGTGCTCGTGCTGGGGCTGGTGTTGTACTTACAAATTACATTTCAGAGATCATTACAAATAAATTATTAAATGCTAAAACTGAATAAATTTAAATGAACAAATTTGGCGTTGCATTTGCAACCATGTGAAAACAGGGGGTGCTTCAGCCCCCTCAGCACCCCTACTTCCCGCGTCCCTGAGTATATAAGTAATATATGAAGGTAAAGTATAGACTCTCTCTCTCTCTCTCTCTCTCTCTATATATATATAACGAGTATATAAATGACTATTGAATGTTTGTTATAATTACACAAACTTAACTGCTCATGCTTAAATGCTTGAAATTAGAAATTAGCTATTATTATTAGAAATTATCTCTATGCATGAATTTATGAAATTTGTTTGTTAATTACATTTTTTTTCAATGAATGAGTTGGAGCAAGAAGTGCAGCCAACAAGACCATGAAATAATGTACATATAAAGTGGCTTCAGGCTTCATTCAAGTGCTTGATGCATCACAGATGTGGACTTCCTTAAAAATGCAACAAAAATTTGAAATGAAAAATGTATAGTTTAAAATAAAGACTTTAAAAAAGAAAAAAAAAAAATCTGTTGATTGTATGTGTTTTTCATAGTTAAGACTAGTGCACATTTTCATTGTAATGTGACGGTTAATGTATTTATGGTTTAGTAAGTGAGCTTTTTCTGGACTAAAATAGGTTAAGCAAAGTCAGTCATTTCCTTTTACTCAGTTTATGATCTCATAACATCCTGGGAAAACTTTATTTAAACCTTTGGCTAAGAATCAAACAAAAGCTACAATCTACAACAGGGTTGTCAAACTCAGTTCCTGGAGGGCCGGAACCCTGCAGAGTTTACATGCAACCCTAATTAAACACACCTGATCCAGCTAATCAAGTCCTAAAGGCTTATTTGAAAACGATGTTTTGTGTGTTGGAGCAGGGTTGGAATTAAACTCTGCAGGGCTATGGCCCTCCAGGAACTGAGTTTGACACCCCTGATCTACAAGATCAGAATGTCAAATAATCTAGTTGACTTAATGTTCCTGGGTCAGTAAGTTTACTAGTCTAATACTGAAGAGGAGGTGCATATGTATTTTTCTGCTCACAAAAATATGATGATCAAAAACAATGATATACATATATAGGCCTATATATTACTGCTGTCAAACAATGAATCGTGATGAATCGCATCCAAAAGAAAAGTGTTTGTTTGTGTATATTATGTATATATAAATACAAACATATGCATGTATATATTTAAGAAAAATTGTGTTTATGTATTAAATATATTTATATATAATATAAAATATAAGAATATAAATATATAAACGTGAATATTTTCAAAATAATACTATATATATATATATAATATAATGTATGTGTGTGTATTTATATATACATAGTAAATATACACAGTAGTACACATACATATACAGTGCACAGCATAAATGAGTACATTTGAATAAATACCCCTCTGAATAAATATAAAAGATGTATTTTCTTAATGATCACTAATATAATTCATGGAAAGATGGCAAAATGAAACATAGTAAACATATACTTAAAAACAACAAAATATATGCCAATATTTTCTGTAAGATAAGTAAATTAGCCAATTTTGTTTAAATGAAGGATTGCAGAAATGAGTACACCCGAGATTTAATTCAGAAAATGTATAATATTCTAGTACTTAGTATGTCCTCCATGACTAAGTACACTGCTCTGACACTTCTTGGCACGGAGTGTACAAGTGCATGACAAATTTTCACATCTGTGCTGTTTAACTCCTGGAGGACGACCTCCTT